AACGAGCTTGTTATAGCTCTTTTTACTTACAGCTTAAGGGCAGAGGCTTTGCGATTGCATCTTCCACCGGATCGAAAGTGCGACCCGTTGAGAAGATCCTGCGAGAAACTCAGCGGGCTGATGTTGGAATTTCGAATGATAAATAGCTCATGTTATCGTCATATCTTTGGAAACTGGTATTTTTTTTCATATGATAAAAACTATAAAAGTAAACAAACAGAAAACTATAAGTATCATAGTTTCTTGGTAGCAATCCGGGACGTTGGTGCATTTTACGAAATGATATTAAATGGCGACAGTGTCGTCCGGTTCTTCGTAAAACGGAATGGTACTTCCGATCAATCACAGGAAGTGAGATGAAAACGTTTGCTTTGAATCCTTAATTATTAAATTATGTTGAACAATAAAACATTTTTGTGTAGCTGTTAGTTGTATAGCTAGTAGCTGCTTATTTTATGTGTCTTTATTTATTGCCCACTAGTCCAAATTCGATCAGTTGTTATTGATATTTTTCTTGTAAAGGCGAAATAAAATAACTGATTTCTAAGCTTTTAATTGATGACAGCTTGAAGCTACCAAAAGCATTGGCTACCAAAAGGAAACAATGTTACTTTTCATATATGTTATTATGTATATGTAGATATTTGGTAAGTTATTATTCGAATTCGCTTCCGATTTTGCCAAATATAGTATGTATATTTTGAAAAATTCGAAGCGAAACGCATTACTGCTGCACGGCTTAAATAGGCACGTGGTGATATATTCCACTTGCAGGAAAAAATAATTGAGAGATATTATATCTACAGAGACCATCTATAGAATAAAAAAAATACTTAGTTAGAACTGAAAAGCTCGTCGACTATTGAGATAAAACAAAGAAAAAACAATTAGAAAAAAGTGTTGGCATTAATCTTTACCACAATAAAGAATGTTCGATGAATTGTGAAATCGAAAACATGGGTAAAAACATTGAGTTGAGTTCGTTGGCATTGGCGTCTTCATGTTGTTTGTAACTCGCGTCACGACCCCATGACTACAGGGACGTAATTAGGACGTGACAGGGTTCCAAATTATTTTTTAATGTATCAGTATCGCTAAATTGGTAGAATAATACATAAGAGTTCGTATCTGTGCTGTTGAAGTATTCTTTTATCTGAAGCGAATTAGGATGTAGATTTAGGATAATAATATGCTTACAACAAAAATGCATTTTCGTCAAAACTCAATTAATATATAAAAAATTAACTCAGGAAGAGTGAGTGGTTCAAATTTAGCTTGCAAGATTTGACTTAACCTAACATATTATATACATACAAACTTTGAAAGTTAAATAAAACCTTGTAAAATGACCACAGAAAAGGCAATCTTATAAAAAGGTAAAAGTAATATTTTTTTAAAAGCATAATTAACAAGAGAGAATGAGTGACAGAATATGATTTTTTGCACACCAAAACACAATTAGCATTCAAAAACAGTCAACAAGTATAATTGTAATTGTACAATAGGATAAATAAATTAACAAAGGTTCATAAAGATTATAAATACGTAATATTTATATATACGACGACCATTTCCACGACGAAGGAATATCATATAAAAAAACGTCGTGTAATAAAACTGATGGTAAATCGACGTGGTAGGCACATCCTACCAAGTAGGTACCAATACGCTGATTTTTCTGCCGCGAAGCGCGAAGTAATGTGTTCCCGTTTGAACGGTAGGGCAATCGTTGTACATATAATAGAATTGCGACTCAAGCCTTAATATTGGTGGCGGTATTTTCTTTGTTGTTAATGTCTATCGGCTCCCATAACTTAGTATATACCGTCCTTCACCTTTATTGACCCGTTTAAGCAAAAAAAAAATAAAGATCCAAAGATTATGAATTAGTATTGAGTAATTTTTAAATTGGTAATAAGAAAATTAGTCGCAGCAACATTTATAGTGAGTAGGAATCATGCTACCACTTAATAGCAAAGGCCAAAGGGTCATAAAGCACGCTTGGCGATCAAAAACAAAGTGCCAAGTTTTGTTCAAAATTGTTGGATTGCTCTATAGCTTGTTTCCGCGACCAATGTCCGCATCACTGAATCCGTACCAAGTAAGGGTTTGATATTCTCTTTGTCCTGAGTCGCATTTCGACGCATTGTACAGAATTTTAATGCAACGAAAGTGATCGCTATGAATTAGTATTATTGAAGAAATCCATTGGTTTGTTTAAATCCGTTCAAGAAATGCGAGTTTGACAGTTTCTTCACTTGTTTCAAAATGTTGAACCGAAAGGATATTGGGAATCTACGTGCTCTTTTTATCGCCTTTTTTTAATTGCTACCTACCCATGCGGACTCAAAAGTCCTATCACCAGTAAATACGTAAATTATATTTTTTGCAGGTTTGATTATTATTATTACACGATATTATTACTTCGTCGTGGAAGTCATTCGTAAACATGCGTTAAAGACGTGTTTCGTTAGGAGACTTGGAACACTCCAGTGTTCCAGAGAAGTCCAGAGAAGGTTTAAAAGGTAGAAAAATATAAAAATGCTCGGAATTAAATAAAAATAATTTTTTTTTTCCTGTCATGTGTCCCCCGTCGGAGGGCTTCCTTTTGTTTGTCTTAGGTTTATTTTATACAAAAGCTTAGGACTTTTATTTGTCGATTGAGGCACTACGAAGTCTGCCGGGTCAGCTAGTCGTGTAATAAAAATCAAACTCGCGAAATTATAATTTGCTTAATTACTGGTGGTAGGACCTCTTGTAACTCCGCAAGGGTAGGTACCACCACTCTGTCTATTTTTGACGTGAAGCAGTAATGTGTTTCGGTTTGAAGGGCGGGGCAGCCGTTGTAACTATACTGAGACCTTAGAATCCATATCTCAAGGCGGGTGACGCATTTACGTTGTAGATGTCTATGGGCTACAGTAACCACTTAACACCAGGTGGGTTGTGAGCTCGCCCACCTACGTAAACAATAAAAAAAACATAAAAAAATGTAAAATTAAAAAAGGAACATATTTTCTGAGACATTAAAAGATATTGACATTTATATTGCGCAAAATATCCAGCACAATGGCTTGCATGTTTAGTTATTAGAAGTTTCTAACAATGCGTTCAGAAATAGTTGCCGATGCCTTAAGTAATTCTATGTCTAAATGAGTTCAAATCTCCACGTCCTTGACACGACAGTTCCGAGACGGATTGTCTATCGTTACACGGCTGCTTAGAATTTAATAAATGTTATTTATTGAAATCAGATCAATCGTGATCACAACAACGAGGCTAATCCTATTGGTTTCAATGTCTCGTTGTATTATGAGTTGTAAACATTTAATTGTATTTTAAAAGAGCGTTGCAAGCGACGGGTTAGCCGAAAACGGTGACCGGTGCTTGAGGGTCCTGAAAGCAACGATAGTTGATCGGGGGAAGTCTTAGTTAATCGCTAGTTCTCGCCACTCCTACACGACAACGCTGACAAACAAGACCTAGGGTTGGGAGTTTTACATAATTTACCATACTTAGAATATATCACCAGTAATTCCTTCGTCGTGAAAGTCATACATATAATCATTTTTACTTAAGATTATCGTGTTTCTGTCATCATGACTTTAGCTCCACGTGGAGAACAATGGTAAATCCTTCGATAAATGAGGCCTTCGCCTTAAAGCCTGAAGTATCACCATACAGATATTTTTAAAACGACTGCCCTTAAATAAGAGTGATACAGCCACGGGTCAGCCTAGATACAGCCTTCAATATGTCCTAGATCATACGTGAGTGAGTGGTTGTGATAAAATAAAAAAGTCGCGACACAGAATGCAGTCAAACCTCTTGTCGGACCGCGCCTGCGATAACGAAACACTTCTAAAACTGATTACGTTTGATAATTTATTATTATTTATTTACATTTGATCAGCTCAGATCAGATCATAACTAATGGGCCATTTTTTTTCGTTTCAAAGCGGGACGCCTACGGAATTCAGTATATAAATAAATACATATATAGGGTACGTCGGGGTAAGATGTAATATCTAAGTGCAAAAAAAAATGGTTTAAAAAATGACTTGAAATAATTTATTATGGTATCTTACCCTCACTGACATCTTAATACTTACACCAACTTGCCCTTAAAATATAATCTACGTATAAATTATATAAAAACAAATAATTTTGTTTTTCCTTAGATGTGTCCCCTTGATGTGTCTATTATTTATCGATTGAGGAACTACGAAGTCTGCCGGGTCAGCTAGTACTTATAAATAATTTCCCAACAAAAAAAATTTCTTTTCTATAGCAAACTTAGAGGTACTTTCGTATGTATTTTGTAATAAAATAAGGATTTGGGATAAGTAAGTATTCGGTAAGTTTCTAATAAACACATTCACAACAGATAAATGAAAGCGGGACATTTTTGTTCTCGTTGGGGACAGCGGGACGGACACCCTGAAAGGGGGACGTATGGTCCGTAATGGACGTAATCATAACCAGTGTACATTCGACGGTAATTCGAAAGTCAGTAGATTATTGACATGTCAAACCCATTAGGCATCAGACAAAAATCAGTTTACTTAATAGTACGTGCGTCGGTACGTATACAGTGTGTCCTATTGCATAATTGATTCCACATAGAATGTCTAGGTTGAAATTATGTTTAGGTGAATTTGAATAGACTTTCCAGATACCCCAAGATATTTTACCGTACGAAGGTTTCCTAGAGATGGGAAAGGTATCAATTGGCTAATCACCGAATTGACATAACCCTTTGCTATCCGATCATACGCAATCTTAGAGAAGCATTAATATTTTCAGAATTGCACTGAAGAATTCGCGGAAATCACAATTCGGCACGGGTTACATCGTTGCGTTACGTAAATCTTTATGCTTAATTACAAGTCGCATACACAGTAAGGTCGTAGAAAGTGAATCGACTCGTGTGAACCGTCGAAAAAAAAACCGTCCGCCATGTTGGCAGTCCGTGGAGCGCAGCCCGCGCAAGTCGACGTTTCCCGCCGAAACGAAGTTTCGAATTTAGAAAGACGAACGTGAATAGAAAAATATTTTATATTTTTTCTGCTTTTGAAACTAACGTGCCAGTGTTCGTAGTGCGTTCTTTTTTTTTTATTCGTGTGCACAGTGAATGATGTGAAAAACATTTGTGGCTCATGATATATATTGACATTTAGTACGGAGGATGGGAATTTTCGATTATAAGTTCATAGGAAAGCTTTTTAAAATGGTAAGTGCTTAAGGTTTTTTTAGTGTATTTTTATGGTTCTCGAATCACACGTAAGGCGAAAATGTGTCGTTGAATATGTTAAATATAAACCAGAAAGTAACGCATCGTAACAAACTTGTTTTTTTAATTAGCTCTCGGATATTAATAAATTTCACTCGTTCGAAAATCGATTCACTTTTTTTTTCATGTTTGCTCTTATCTAACTTCTGTCATCAACTCGATTCGGGCCTAGATAGTACATTGTGCTCCAAGTTTTTTTTTATTTTTTATTTTTTTTTAGTCCTTAGATGGGTGGACGAGGTCACAGGCCACCTGGTGTTAAGTGGTTACTGGAGCCCATAGACATCTACAACGTAAATGCGCCACTCACCTTGAGATATAAGGTCTAAGGTCTCAAGTATAGTTACAACGGCTGCCCCACCCTTCAAACCGAAACGCATTACTGCTTCACGGCAGAAATAGGCGGGGTGGTGGTACCTACCCGCGCGGACTCACAAGAGGTCCTACCACCAGTAAATAACTCAACTATTTTATTAGTATTACCTATGCTAATATTATAAATACAAATGTGAGTTAGTTTGTTCTGCTTTCACGATCTGAACTATTTAACTTATCATCATGTAATTTTACTTCCACACCAGGAAAATAGAAAACTCAAATCTACAGCTTAAGCAAGGCTCACGGGGTACCATTACTGCGAGCGTAGTCGTGGGTAGAAGCTAGTTACGGTATCAAGAGCAGCTTAACTGATTGTGGAAATTTTAGTCTCTCGGGTAACGATATTTCTGCTTTTCCTTCACACGTTCCTGATTGAGCTTAAAGCTTTCAATGCAATCGTGAATCAACGCTATTACGGCATTACCATGGTATTTTTACCTGTGCAGCCACATCAGATGCTCTACTATCAGTCATTACGCTAATCATAAATTTATCAGGATTAAATTTTCTTTTATTATATTAAATTTGTGATTAAGGCGTTTGTGTAAATGTGTTAAGTGCGTATTTCCTTTGCAAAAATTTGTCCTTGCCTGCGAAATTAGAGAGCTTTTTAGGAATCGTGTATTTTGTGACAGATTCTGTGACGGTAGGCAGCGGCTTGGCTCTGTTCCTGGCATTCAGCAACTCCATGATCTACGGTAACCACTCACCATCAGGTGGGCCCTACGTTCGTCTGCTTACAACGACAATAATAATAATAAAAATGTTGTTCTGTAGCATAAAAATATATATAATATAAATTGTGCTTCAGTGTTTTCAGTTGTCACGTCTTAATAGGTATCAAAGAGCTTTAAGGAAGTTAATATAATTATAATTAGCTTCCTTGATAGAGAAACTTGTATCGAGTTATTATACTGCTTACGGGTTAACCTTTTTTTTTTTTTTTTAACGCTGGGTAATCCATTTACGGATACCCGGTCCGGGGGGGTAACGAACCGGGTTATGTCGGACTCCGGCATTACGAGTTAACCTCATATCTATTTTAATTCACTTTACAATTTCCGTTTCGAATACTTTAATTTTGGCTACGGATGCCCGAGCGATTGACCGATTTTTTTTCTTCTTACCTATGCTGATAGCCTTGAGACTCTATATCAGCTGCTCAATGACGTGTAGGTGAGCTCGCGGGGTTCAAACTAGATGTGTTGCTAACACTGGCCCTAGCAAGAGCAGTGCTTCGCAGAATCTACTATCGGATCGGAAACGCGACCTACTGAAAAGATCCGGCGAGAAACTCAGTGAGCTGTGTCTATGGGCTAATTCATTCGTCGAGCCCTTCGCCGCAAGCGACGGGTTCGACGAAGACGATGACCGGTGCTTGTGGTACCGTAAAAGCATCGTTAATGGATCGTTCCGATACCGTAATAACGTGTTTAGGGCGAGGTCGACTGTTTACTATTCGGTCTACAGGATCGGGTATATAATTCCCGGCGGCCACGACAAGAGGATTTTCAGGTCGTGCCGCCTTTTCAAAGTGGCGCAATGATGCCGACTGTAGATACTTACTGACTGACAATTGACCGAGCTGTAAGAAGTAAAGTACAGAAAGTATACCATACTAACTGTATTAACTAACAATTACTTCGACGAAGCATTAAATGCGTTAAGTGAATTAAACGATATTCATCTTGGACTCCATAGGGACCCAAGTTGCAAAAGTTTTTTATAGTAGACCAGCTGATCTGGCAAACGTTGTTTTTGCCTTATAAATTATTTCTAGGAAAGATAAATTAACCTAGATATCGACTGTAGCGCCATTTGCCGGGCTGATTTGTGAATCTAAACCATCCAGGGCGCCACCCAAATGCACACAAAAAAATTCATTCAAATCAGTCCAGCCGTTTAGGAGGAGTTCAGTGACAAACACGCGCAAAGAAGAAATATAGTTATATAAAGATTGAAAAGCATTGAAAATCGAAGTTTTGTAATATTGAAAGCTATTGATTGCAAATTTTTATGTTAATTAGTGCAACAATAGTGGACTGACTCGGTGGTGCTGTAGTTAATGGCTTTGTCTGTTGCGCCGAGGGTCGTGCGTTCGATTTCTACATCGGGCAAACATTCGTGTGATGAACAGGTTTGTTTGCTCTTTGTCTGGATGTTCATTATCTATGTATGTAAATATTTAAACCTTTATAAGTATGTTTGTCAGATTCCGGATCTCCGGGCCGGATGACCGTGCGTGATTTGTTCCCAGTTATTATTATTATTATTATTAATTACTGGTGGTAGGACCTCTTGTGAGCCCGCACGGGTAGGTACCACCACCACCCTGCCGTGAAGCAGTAATGCGTTTCGGTTTGAAGGTCGGGGCAGCCGTTGTAACTATACTGAGACCTTAGAACTTATATTTCAAGGTGGGTGGCGCATTTACGTTGTAGATGTCTATGGGCTCCAGTAACCACTAACAGTAACACCAGGCGGGCTGTGAGCTCGTCCACCCATCTAAGCAATAAAAAATAAAAATAATTGGTGGGTTTGTCACTGCAAAATGTGTCATTAGGAGTGAAATGGAAATGCTGAATCGTCCAATATAAAATTGCGTAAGCTCGAATATGTATATGTAGTGGAATGCAAATCGGTTTTTTTTTAAACATTATCGTAAAAAATTTAAATTTTAAAATCTGTCGTCATTGTTATTCATAGTTTTGTCATAGTTCTCGTGCGAACTTCTTTGGTTCACAGAGTTGTGATTTTTTAGACGCGACAAATATTTAATTGATTGTAAAAGAAAAGATTATTGTTTTATCTATATATTAATACGTGAAGCAAAAACTTTGTATCCCTTTTTACGAAAATTGCGCGGACGGAGGAGTATGAAATTTTCCACACTTATAGAGAATATAGAGAAGAAGTGCAGAATGCCAATATTTTATTAAAATAATGCATAAAAGATACATTAAATCAATAAAGAAAACATTACACACACTCCCATGTATTTGACACACACACACACACGCACGCATAATATTTGTTTATTGTCAAACTTACGTTATTCCTCAAATGTGAAACTTTTGTTATTTTTTAAAGTCTGGGTAAAATTGAGAACAGATTAATATTGTTTGTCTTTAATATTATTATTTTTTTAATTTTTTTTATTGCCTTTGTAGGCAGACGGGCATACGGCCTACCTGATGGTGAGTGGTTACCGTCGCCCATGGACTTCAGCAATGCCATTTATTTGTAGTGTAGTTTTGGCGAAATCTGTATTATTATAGAAATATAATAGTGCTTGACATTAGCACCATAATAATGTTTAAACTTTTAATTTCAATTAATTATAGTCGAATTTCGAAAACTGCGGGGACCACTAGTTTATTTAAATTGGTTATTTTAAGATAGCCAACGGTGTATCTTTCTGCCGAGTTAAAGTAAGCGTTGAGAGATTTGAAAAATCGCTGCATAAAAATCCTATCGCTATCTCTTTCAAGTCTTAACGAATTGTACACGAGATGAAGAGGGACATGTATAGTTACGACTGAAGATAGCTCTGTTAATAATTGGAAATTGACATTTCGTATTCATCTGTTTTCTCTTCAAAAACTTGGCCGGTTTTAATTACTAGGTTTCTAAAATTATACAAACAGATTTTGTATGTCTATTTGTTTCAAATTATTTCATTTTAGTCGTATAATTACGGTGGGAACGTCAAAAATAATTGACGTTTTTCGTGATTATAGTAACAATTTTAACTGGTTTTGATTTTTTTAAAATATCGGTCACGCCATTTGAATATACATAGAATTTCAAATTAATAAGTACAAAATTCAAAATATTAATACTTAATTATCCACGTTGCGGTAGGCAGCGGCTTGGCTCTCTGCCCCTGGCATTGCTGAAGTCCACGGGCGACGGTAACCACTCACCATCAGGTGGGCCGTATGCTCGTCTGTCTACAAGGGCAATAAAAAAAAAAGAACGGAGAAAAACATTTGTATATATTATACGCATTCTAAGTTTCTTTTAACCCCGAAGTAATGCATATTTTCGTTAGGGCGATTAATATTTAACTAAATAAGGGAATACAGACTGTAAAATATAAGCTTGCGGCCACACAGCCATTGAAATCAATGCACAATGAACTGTTACGTAATTAATTTATAGGTTTAATAATTGTTACTTATATGGTTAGGACTTTTACTGGTGCTAGCGTATTATGAGTGAAGCTTTTATCCATTGAGACTCCTATTATTTCAAGGCCTAATTTTTCAAAATGAAAGTTATATATTTAAAAAAAATTAAATTATTGTTTTGATTAACTTTTTTAGCACATTTGAACGTGAATAATGCTAATAGGACATTGTGAAAATATATTAATTCTTTTATCGCAATTTTTCGGAAGCTTTTCCACAATGCCATGTTTTTTAATGTGTTTTTGTCACATCTACATTTGCTTAGTATATGCCAGAGCGTCCTTGGCGTCGCCTGCGCACATTCCCCGTCTCTTGAATTCCAGCTATCCGACAACGACTCACAAGTATTACGAATCAACTCTGAATAAA